AGAGTAGTGCAGCCCCACAGAAAGGACTGGAGTCACAGGCTTGATGATGCCTTGTGGGCACATAGAACAGCATTCAAGACACCCTTGGGAATGTCACCATACAGGGTGGTCTATGGAAAAGCCTGCCATCTGCCAGTTGAGGTGGAATACAAAGCTTATTGGGCAGTAAAGGCTTGCAACATCCATTATGATTTAGCTGGAGAGCAGAGGAAATTACAGCTGCAAGAGTTGGAGGAGCTACGTCTTGAGGCCTATGAGAACTCCAGAATTTATAAGGAAAAGACCAAACAATACCATGATAAGAAGATTTCAAGCAAAGAGTTCAATGTTGGTCAAAAGGTTCTCTTGTTTAATTCTCGTCTTAAACTCATGCCTGGAAAGCTCAAATCAAGGTGGCTTGGACCTTTCACTGTTACAAAGGTATTTTCCCATGGTGCAGTGGAGATCATAAGTGACTCCACTAGCAAAAGTTTTATGGTGAATGGGCACCGCTTGAAGCCATTCTTGCAAAACTCAGCTACCTTGGAAGAAGTTGAAGAGATTAACTTGATATCACCATGCACCAACCCCCATTCCATCCCTTGGCTCCCATAAATAATTTCATACGTCAAGCTAGTGACGTTAAAGAAGCGCTGTGTGAGAGGCAACTCACAAGTTGATTAAGAATTTTTTGTATTTAGTTTTATTTTTATTTTTATTCTTTATGGTTCTTTTCATCCAATAAGCATTTTTTTTAAGCTATGAATTGAGATGCATTAAACATGATTTTATTACATATTCTTCATTTTTGTTACAGTGGACAGTTTTAAATTTTGAATCTGATTCATGCAGAGACCATAGGAAGTCCCTATGCACCAAGACCTATCCAAGGTGTCCACTTCCCTTTCATAGTAGTCACTTTCATGCTAAGGTAAGTGAATCCACTCTCTGTAGTTTTCACTTTCAGCCTATAGTGATCACTTTGAAGAGGTTTTTGGGTCATGGGTTTGTGTTTCAACACTCCCAGTTCATAGTGAACACGCGCCGATGACTGGAATATAGAAGGCTCTCTGTAGTTATCACTTTGGTTCCATGGTGATAACTACAGAGGCACCTCCTGGACTAACGTTGATGCGCGTAGTTACTCCCATCTCATAGTAACTACGCGCAAGCCACTTCACCAAAAGCCTTCTCTGTAGTTATCACTTTCCCACCATAGTGATTACGTGCGCCACTTCACTTGCTAAATACAAATGCGCGTGTTCACTATGGTTTGAAAGTGATAACGTCAGAAACCTATATAAACTGAAAGTGTTCACTCTCTCACCCACTCTCACTAAACCTCTGAGCACTCTCACCCCCGCTTCCAATCTTTTTGCAAATTCCCTCCCTTTTTTCATTGGTTTGTGCTAAGACTCACCCAGTCATATAATTTTGCACCTCTCTCAGGCTCTTATCCAGGTAATTCTTCAAATTTCCCTTCTTTCTACATTAGGGTTCTTCATTCAATAATTTAGGGTTTTTAAATTCTGGGTTTTTGAATTGAAATTGCTTGGGAAAACATGATATTCTAGGTTTGTTTGCATGATTCGAATGAATAGAGACTGTTAATTTGATTAAATTTTCTGCCTCTATCTGATTAACCCTTAAAGTGCCCACTATGTTTGGGATTTTAAACTGGAGCCTCATAAATTGTTATTTCTGCATAAATTCTGTTGGTTGAGGTGTCAATAGCTTGATTAAAATGGACAAGGGGTGTGTAGTGGGTGAATTTCTACAGTTTCTCTCATTGTCGAACCCCAAAGTGCTCACTGTTGTTTTGACAATTTTAATTTGGGGCTTCGAAAAAATTGAGGTTAATAAATCCCAACTACAATGTGGAATGTAATTGTCCATTTGGAAGTGATTACAGAAGTTAATTGGTTAATTTGTTGCATACTGCATTGTTCAACCCTAGGATAGTCACCCCAAGAGTGCTTACTTGGCATGTTTTAATTGGCAATTCCTGGACTGAAACTGATAATGCACAATTGTCATTATAGGATGCTTGTCTGTTTGTAGGATGCTGGAGCATTTAATTTGGTTATTTTGTCGAATTTAGAATTGTTGGACCTTAGGATAGCCACTCCTACCTGCAAAAATGCTTGAAGTGGAACATTCTACTATGTTGGTGCTTGTGTATAATGCTTAATGTGTGCTGCAACTGTTAAATTTATGGCTAAGTACACAACCCTCTTTTGTGGCTCTGGTTAATCTGGTCCTGAATATGTCCCCATAGTGTTTCCTAGAATCTACAAAAGTGACTATTTGATCTAAAAAATAGAATGGCATTTGGGGATATTATCATTGCTGCCCTTCCACTGCACACACTCCATTGGCCCTGTGCACCTCTTTAATGTGCTGGAAATCTGCATATAATGCATCATACATCACTTTCACCTTGCTGTCCAGTTGTATTCATAATGAAGAATTCCTTTGAACTTTAATCCAATTGCTTCGTCTTCCTAATTGCTTTTTGAATTCTATGCATCATAATTGACCATACATTTTGCACTTCTCTGTACTGAACCCATACTGAAATTCAAAATGTTGTTGAGTGCAATTGTAGTTGCATCTGTCCTTTTGTTGTGATAATTTCTGAATCTTCCTAACTGCAACTGATAAATGCTTTCTCTACTTGATCGTACATTGTAATTCATGAATGATAAATTCATTGAGAAAATTTACTATTATTAATTTTATATTATTCATATTTCAGGAAAAATGATCAAGAAGTGAAAGCTTTAAAAGATATTGGGAATTGAAACACACAAAAAAGCCAGAGATATACACGAGCAAGTACATGCCTGTGTATATGAGCGTGTATCTCACTGATCGCGTCAATTGAAGTGTATCATCCAAACCAGAGATGTACACGGCCAGATACATGGCTGTGTACATGAGCGTGTACTTTTATGGAAAGCTTTGAAGGGCGTCTATTAGAAAACAGAGATGTACACAGCCAAGTACATGGCCGTGTACTTGGGCGTGTACTTTTACGCGCGTCAGAAATTTAACTTTTGCGAGAACCCTAGGACAATTCCTATAAAAGGAGAACTGGTCTTGAACCTATGGAGGCAGTTTTTGGAGACGAAAGACTCAGAGATGGCAGGAGGATAGGATCAAGCGTTTTAATTCATCTCTTTTGTAATTTTAATTTGAAGATGTTTAGGTTCTAATTTTCCTTTGAGTATCTAGACGTAATGAATCCTAATTGACTAAATTTTCTGGAATTCTTCTAATGCTATTTCATGTTCTTTACTCTTGGGTTTAATTGAGTAGTATCAATTTTCCCTATCTTGTTTTCTTGTTTGAATTTGAGTAAAATTCCTGCATGAAATTAACATTGCTCAATTAAAAAGACTTGAATGTATTTCTAGAGATAGAAAGACGTGAGTTTTCTGTATTAGGATTAACCCTAATTATGGAATTCATAATGAACTTAATGCAACCTAGGGGTATTAATTAAGGAAGAGATTCTGATTAATCAACTGAGGGTTAGGAATCATTATCCTTGAGAAAGGTATTGATTTAATTTGGAATTTCTTGCAGCGATAAGGGTTTGGAACAAAGTAGTTGAAGAAGAATTTCAGTTATTTGGACACTTAGGGAGATTTACAGTCTAGATACTTGCCTTTTTACATTGAATACCTTTATTCATAATTTTCTATAATTTATTTTCACTAGAATATCTGTTCCTTTTAATTTATTATTCTTTTACTTTTAGCAATTTCATCAACAAGGTTTATTTTTCATATTTATTAACAATTACGCAATTAAGGAAAAGTTTCTTAATAACAGTCCCTGTGGATACGACACTTGGTACTTTAATTTTAATTTTAATAATATTACTTCGACAACGGGTACACTTGCCCAGTGATCAGTTTTTACACACCAAGTTTTTGGCGCCGTTGCCGAGGACTGTTTAATTAGGATTCCCTTTATTACGTATTTAGTAATTTTATTTATTTCTTTAATCTTGAATTAACTTAACTATTTTACTTTCATTCTTTTTAGGAGCTGATTTTTCTTGTGTATGATCAAAACTCGTTCTACTGCACTGTCTGAAGAACTATTTGAATTTGACCCAGAGATCGAAAGAACTTTGCAAAAAAATTTGGAAAGAGAGGTGATTGCTAGTACAAAGGGAAAACGCACAAACACACATGGAAGGAATGGCAAACAACGAAGCTCAACCAAGGACCATGTCCGATTATGCTCGTCCATCATTAACAGGGACAGAGTCTAGCATTGTCCGTCCGGATGTGCAAGGGAATTTTGAAATAAAGCCCAATGTTATTCAGATGGTTCAGCAGTTTATCCAGTTTGATGGGTTGCAAGACGAAGACCCCAATGCTCATATTGCAAATTTTCTGGAAATTTGTGATACTTTCAAGATCAATGGAGGTACTGATGATGCAATCTGCTTGAGGCTATTTCCATTTTCTCTCAGGAGCAGAGCAAAGCAATGGTTGAATTCTCTCCCACGAGGGTCTATCACTTCATGGGAGGCTATGGCAGAAAAATTCTTGGCAAAATATTTCCCTCCCGCGAAAACTGCCAAAATGAGGAACGATATCTCTTCCTTCTATCAGTTAGAGTCAGAGACATTATACGATACGTGGGAGAGGTTCAAGGAATTGTTGCGAAAATGCCCACATCATGGGATTCCGGACTGGCTTCAAGTGCAAACCTTCTACAATGGATTGAACCCAGCCACAAGACAAATGATAGATGCTGCAGCTGGGGGCACTTTGAATAGCAAGACACCAAGGGCTGCACAAGAACTGTTTGAAGAAATGGCAATGAACAGCTATCAGTGGAGCTCAACTCGATCCAAACCTGCGAAATCCGCGGGGATCTATAGTCTTGATGCAGTAACATCCTTGGCAATGCAAGTGGAAGCCTTAGGGAAGAAGATTGATGGTTAAGAACATGCCAATGTGATAGGAAACAGACCACCGTACCAAAATTACAATGGCATGAATAATTCGGGCTGGAGGAACTATGCAAACCCACCGTGGAACAACAACCAACAGCCAATGCGGAACAACACACCCTCAGGGTTTCAACAACCACCCCCAACTGAAAAGAAGTCAAACCTTGAGGAGCTGATGACCAAATTCATTCAAACATCAAAATCTCGGTTTCAATCCACCGAGACAGCACTAAGAAATCAACAAGCCTCTATCCATAATCTAGAAATTCAGTTGGGTCAAATTTCTAGACTTCTCTTAGAAAGACCCCAAGGAAGCTTGCCTAGCAATACTGAGACTAATCCTAGGGAGCAGGTCAATGCAATAACATTAAGGAGTGGCAGAACATTACAAGAGAAGGGGAAGCAAGAAACAAAAAAAGATGCAGTTGAAGAGGAGGATAAATGTCAAGAGGAGACTGTGGAAAAGCCCCCTGTAGTGAAAGAATTCATACCCCCACTTCCCTACCCAGCAAGATTGAAGAAAGACAAGGATGATGAACAATTTGGTAAATTTCTGTCCTTATTTCGTCAACTTCATATTAATTTACTGTTTGTTGATGCCTTGGCACAGATGCCCAAGTACGCCAAATTTCTAAAGGATCTACTGTCCAACAAGAAGAAATTGGAGGAGTTGGCCACAGTAACTCTGAATGAAGAATGCTCAGCAATTCTGCAAAACAAGATGCTCGAAAAATTGAAGGATCCAGGGAGTTTTACTCTTCCTTGTCTCATTGGTAGATTGAAAGTTGATAGGGCTTTAGCTAATTTAGGTGCTAGCATTAATTTGATGCCATATTCTATTTTTAAGAAATTAGGTTTAGGGGAACCTAGGCCAACTAGGATGAGTATTCAATTAGCTGATAGGTCAATTAAATATCCTAAGGGTATCATTGAGGATGTGCTTGTAAAAGTGGATAAATTTATTTTTCCTGTTGATTTTGTGATTCTTGATATGGACGAGGACACTGATGTCCCCTTGATCTTAGGTCGTCCCTTTTTAGCTACTGCAGGGGCTATAATTGATGTGAGGGATGGAAAGTTAATTTTGAGGGTTGGAGATGAAAAAGTCACTTTCAAAATTCCTGATGTAATAAAAAAGTCTTTGAAACAAGATGATTCCTGCTACTTTATTAATGTAATTGATGATTATGTTTCTGATTGTGCACAGGAATTCTTGATTTCAAACCCATTGAAAAGAAGCTTAGTTCATGATAAAGGAAAAGATGATATGAGCTTGGTAACTTAAGAACAGTGGTGTCATTTAGAAGCCACTAAGCCATTATGGAGAAAGAGGGACTTCAAAGTTTTGGAGTGGAAATCAGAGAAGCAACCCAATCCATCTATTAATGAACCACCAGATGAAAAATTGAAGGTCTACCATCATAAAAAATTCAAGGGAGGTAAACTATTTCAAAAAGGTGATTTAGTACTGTTGTACAACTCTCGCCTCAAATTATTCCCAGGTAAACGCAAATCCCATTGGTCTGGACCGTTTACTGTGCATAAGGTATTTCCTTGCGGTATAATTGAATTAACTCATCCAGAAAAAGGAAATTTTAACGTGAATGAACATAGGCTCAAACTGTACCAGGGGGTCAACTGCAAACTTTTGCAAATGAGGAGTTTAAACTCCTCTATGTTAAATTTTGAATGTTGAATTACATTGAATAGTTTAGGTTAGGTAGGTTTAGTTTATTTTAATTTAGTTATTTATTTGCTCATTTATTTATATTTTGAATAAGCGTCCTCGCCCCAGCATGAACCCCATCTCCTTCTGACCACTTTCTTAGTATAGATGATGAAGACTTAGATGATGCGCAGTTTAGTCTACAATTAGGAGTCTTAGTTATTGAATTTTTTTCACTTATGTTATTTTTAGGATTTATATTGCTTTTGTCTGTTTATTACTTTTGTTTCTTTATCGCATTATTTTGATCGTTCTACTCCTCTTGTCATTATGAACTGAGTTAAATCTCCTTATAAAAAATTTTTTAATCAGGTTTCCTCTCCAATTGAATCCCAGATTAGCTTTGCTTCTCACGACTCTTTGCTTACTTATTTACTTTTCAGGGAGTTTCAGTTGCACTCTAACTCTTCTATTTGATTGAGGACAATGCAAATCTTACACTGTGGGGTGGATAATTATAAATGTTTGAACTGAATTGTTGTTTTATTCTTGAGCAATACTGAGTCAATTTTACTGTTGCATAGAAGATGATATTCCTAAAAATAAAAATAAAAACAAAAATAAAGATTCATATGCAGTTATTCTAGATATTGGAATTGTGTTTTTGATTGTTTCTTGATTGAAGTATCAGTAGATTTTTCTGATTTGAGGAACTTGAATCTATGCAAATTTTTTTTTAAGAATCGTTAATATCTGAAAAATTGGGGCTCTGCTCAGAAATAAAAGAGCATGCCATGGAAGCATAACTAGTTGAATGTGGATTGCAGGCAATGTCCGGATACCACATCCTAGAACCCCGAAATTGTTTGAGGTACCGATGTGGAAAGCAAGGGGTGGAATTTTCCATTAATACCTTGTGCTAATTGGGATGGAGCATAAAATGCACCCTACTAGCCGATCATGGCTCAAAGTAAAGAAAATTAAATAAAACCTTGTGGAAGAATTCAAAGTTTTGAATTAAAATTTTAAGAGGTAATTGTAGAGAGGTCCTTATTTCAATTCTGTCTGAAGTTACAGAGGTCGAGAGCAAAAGAAAGCACAATTTGATGTTTAAGAATTACTTTCTCTCTAAAAATAAAATAAAATAAAAATAACAATAATAATAATAAAAAATTCAAGAATTTGATTCTTTGTTGTCAAGGGTAAAAGTGATCCATTTCTTTGCTTGGGGACAAGCAATCGTTCAAGTTTTGGGGAATTTGATAAATGCTTTCTCTACTTGATCGTACATTGTAATTCATGAATGATAAATTCATTGAGAAAATTTACTATTATTAATTTCATATTATTCATATTTCAGGAAAAATGATCAAGAAGTGATAGCTTTAAAAGATATTGGGAATTGAAACACACAAAAAAGCCAGAGATATACACGAGCAAGTACATGCCCGTGTATATGAGCGTGTATCTCACTGGTCGCTTCAATTGAAGTGTATCATCAAAACCAGAGATGAACACGGCCAGATACATGGCCGTGTACATGAGCGTGTACTTTTATGGAAAGCTTTGAAGGGCGTCTATTAGAAAACAGAGATGTACACAGCCAAGTACATGGCCGTGTACTTGGGCGTGTACTTTTACGCGCGTCAGAAATTTAACTTTTGCGAGAAAATTAACCCTAGGACAATTCCTATAAAAGGAGAACTGGTCTTGAACCTATGGAGGCAGTTTTTGGAGACGAAAGACTCAGAGATGGCAGGAGGATAGGATCAAGCGTTTTAATTCATCTCTTTTGTAATTTTAATTTGAAGATGTTTAGGTTCTAATTTTCCTTTGAGTATCTAGACGTAATGAATCCTAATTGACTAAATTTTCTGGAATTCTTCTAATGCTATTTCATGTTCTTTACTCTTGGGTTTAATTGAGTAGTATCAATTTTTCCTATCTTGTTTTCTTGTTTGAATTTGAGTAAAATTCCTGCATGAAATTAACATTGCTCAATTAAAAAGACTTGAATGTATTTCTAGAGATAGAAAGACGTGAGTTTTCTGTATTAGGATTAACCCTAATTATAGAATTCATAATGAACTTAATGCAACCTAGGGGTATTAATTAAGGAAGAGATTCCGATTAATCAACTGAGGGTTAGGAATCATTATCCTTGAGAAAGGTATTGATTTAATTTGGAATTTTCTGCAGCGATAAGGGTTTGGAACAAAGTAGTTGAAGAAGAATTTCAGTTATTTGGACACTTAGGGGGATTTACAGTCTAGATACTTGCCTTTTTACATTGAATACCTTTATTCATAATTTTCTATAATTTATTTTCACTAGAATATCTGTTCCTTTTAATTTATTATTCTTTTACTTTTAGCAATTTCATCAACAAGGTTTATTTTTCATATTTATTAACAATTACGCAATTAAGGAAAAGTTTCTTAATAACAGTCCCTGTGGATACGACACTTGGTACTTTAATTTTAATTTTAATAATATTACTTCGACAACGGGTACACTTGCCCAGTGATCAGTTTTTATACACCAGCAACCATGCATTATTCTTTGTAAATGCTTTCTGCAAATCAAAATTGAACATCCTTGTTATTTATCTGCATAGTTCTTAACATTTTGCTGCCATACAGAATGGTCTGTTACCACTTGTTTGCTTCATGTGCACTTAATTTCAGTTTGTTGCATCATTGCCTATGTCCAATTTGGTTGTCTTAATGTTGTTTTGCTTGAACCATAATGTGATCACCTTGCATGGTATCCTATTCCTGATGTTCTGGTTTGCTGTCTCAGTTAGCTGAATATTATTTTGTTTGATATACATCGTTGCTGCAGAATATCTCACACAGATTTCCTTTTTCTCTGCAGCAAAAATGGTCAACACACCAAGGAAGAGCACTCCAAGGTCCAAGAGGGCCAAAACAGCTGGTGCCTCTTCCTCTGCACCTCCTCCTAACCATGACCCGCGGTTTAAGTCCTTGGAACATGAAGAATATTTTAAAACAAATATCCTGAGAAGGAAGCTGGTACAGGACCGTAACTTTGAGATTTAAGAAGGCACCTATCCCCAATTTGAGGAGGAGATTCAGAGAAAAGGATGGGACCTTTTTACAACCTGTGCTGGAAATGGGTGGAAGGAAATCACCCAAGAGTTCTTCGCCAACGCAATGAGGATTAAAAGCGACACTCTCCCTCCCAGACACAGCATGGTAAGGGGAAAACTGATCAACTTCACCCCCTCCAACATCTAAAGAGTTCTAAATATCCCAGCTATGCATAAGTCAGCTGGCCAACTAGACTTTACAACCTTCAGCATCCAAGAGGATAAGGACTACATGCCTATCCTTGAAACTGTTTGCAAAGAAGGTGAGAATTGGGAGTTTGACTGCAAGATGCAACCCAAGAACTTGACCACCAAGCACCTCATCTCTACAACAAAAATCTGGAGTGTCTTCATCCTTAGTTCTTTCATGCCGGTCCTCCACTCCTCTACCTTAGCAGTGAAGCGAGCAGAGCTTATTTATGCCATTCTGACAGGAATGCCCATCCATGTGGGTGAGGTAATCAGCAGTGCCATTATGGACATCTTGAGCAGAAGCAGAGATTCCATGGGTTTCCCATCCATCATCACCATGCTGTGCCAAGACGCTGGGGTAGATTTTGGGGACTACCTGCAGAAGATTAGAGCAGCCTCTCCTATTACTACTGCAATGCTGAAGGACTTCTTCAAACCTAGAAAGAATGCTGACCCAGGACTATCTCTACCAGCTGATTACAGGAGGGATACTCCAATGAGGATGAGGGAGCAGATGAAGTAGCTTGCTCTGAGGCAGGATTCCATTCATGCTGGGCAGAAGGCCCTCATGACTCTGATGGAAACTATGCTGCTGAATATAGGGAAAAAGATGTGGATGACTACCACACAGCTTTATGAAGCTCCTACTTTCAGTGCCCCTTACCTGCGAGCAGCAGTCCAGAGTGACCTTCCACCCTTTCCTCCACCTGCCCCTACCAGAGCTGAAGCCGATGACAACAGCTCCAGTACCTCAGATGACGACCTTCCAGCAACAGCAGAAGAAGATGACGATGATGATTCTTCCTTTTCCAGCTCCGATGAAGATGCTATCTAGTCTTAGTTTTTTCTTTTTCACTGCACTCACCTTTCACTTACTTTCTGCTATTTCCCTGTATTTACCACTAACCATCAATTCCTTGTAAATATCGTACATTTCAGTTTCCACCTTTACTGCTTTATTTTCTTATTGTTCCTCCTAATCTGAGCATCTCCAACATTTTCGTTTATATATATCTATTCTATTTTCTGGCTTTATATTTGCTCCCTATACTGAATTCTATGTATATTTGTGCAAAAAGTGCCCTCAGTTCCATCAAGAGGAGCATGAATTTGACCCCTGAGTTGTGATTCTACTTTCTATGAAAGGGGGGTGATCTCTTTACCTTTGTTTCCATTGTTCTTAGTCTAATTTTCTTGCACAGTGTTAAATGAAAATACAAAAATATTTTCCTTATCTCTCTTTTAATATAGTCCAGTTTTGTAATTCCATAGTTATATTTTGATTGCACTTCCCATTCAACTCATGATCATCCTC